TTTTTTAATGTATTTGCTACAGGGTCCCACTACATAGCTCAGACTCCTAGTGGTCCTCTTGTTTTCAGCCTCTTCAGTGCTGGGATTATAGGCGTGTGCCACCAAGCCTGGACTCTGTGACCTCTCAGCGTTCCCAGCTAATCAGCGTGCCCAGGGACAGGGCCGGTGCTGGGCATCAAAACCCCAGTCCCTGTGCTCGCCTAAGAGGCATTCAGTCCACTAAGCTATCTCACTGGCCCCCAATTTTCTTACATGATAAAACTCAAACATCTTTTTAACGTGACCATCCTTATTCTCTTTCCCTGAAATTCAAATGTTGGTAAATTCCTCCTGGTTGACACTACATCCTTTCATAAATCTTTCTCCTTCCTTCACACAGCAAACATCAACTTATATAACTATAAACGAAAAAGCAAAAAGCAGTTTCTCCAAACTTTTCAGTTTTTAATTGATATCTTCTCTTTTGAACATCCATTTCCTATCTAACATTTCCATGCAGTATTGCAGGATAAATGTTTATTAATCTGATCTCTGCTCCACGGGTGGATCTTTTATCCCTAGTACCAAGTAGAGTTTGCCTAAAGGTTGCTGTGTGAATATTTTCACATCTATTGTTTGGTATGAGAAACTTTGAATATATGATACCGTGACCTTTTGCATTGTATATTAATTTCTAAGTCAGATCAAGAAAAATTTTTGTGAGCTAAACTTTGTAAAGGATTCCATTGCAAAGGCGTCTTCTCTACATAAGAGAACATTAAAGTTTGCATTCATGATATGAGAAGAACTCCTCAAAATCATGCTTGTACTTTATGTAACATTGAGCATTTCCCACCATATATAAAGGACAAGATGAATGTGACTATGTATTAAGAAATACTCAAAATAGCTACTTTTTCCTCTGTAACTTTAGTTTCTTTATAAACAATATATATCTATGTCCTTTTTATAATTTAAAGAAAATATATATTGATTAAAGGGGAAATCAGATAGTAAAGTCAGGGTAATCTCCAAAAGCATGTTAATTGAGAGTATATTTTCTTTTGAAAATATATTTTGAATTTTTCCACTGATATTTCATTTGTGCTTAATGTAAAATTAGTTATAATTCTTATTTAATTCTTTGTGATTCTTATCAAACTCATTGTGAAGAATTCATCATTTTGTTTTTAAGGTACCCATGATGTATTTTTACTTTTGTTTCCTGTGTTTTCAGGATCTTTTCCAAAACTATCTTTTTTCAATAAATATATGCTAATATTCCTTATTTTTTCTAGTTCTGCCATTGTTGGAGGTTTAGCATTTTAGTATTTAATATATTTTTAAATAATTTTTGTAACGTGAAAGATAGAGATCTCTTTTATTGTTCTGCATCTGCATATTCATTTCTCCGAGCACCATACTTAAAGGCTTGTCCTTTCTCCAATGCATGCTCTTAGTATCTCTGTCAAGAATCAGCTGTTTATAGAAGCAAGAGTTTACTTACAGGCTGTCCATTCTATTCTGTTTTTCAAAAACTATATAT